CTTTTTTATACGGAAACTAAACGCGACTGATTTTTAAAGGTATTAGTATGTGAATTAGTAATTAATTAATGTGTCTATCAAATTAAAATTTAATTATTAAAAATATTTTTTTAATGATTAGTTTTAAAGTTTTCTAAAAAAAAAAAAAAAAGATCGGACGATTATATCATTTAGCTGTCATAGAAGTAATAATAGTTTTAACAATTTTCAACATAATTAGTTCGTGTGTGAGTACTTCCTTAACTGACTCTATGGTAAGCGAACGTTGAACCTAAAATACTAAAGTACTTTCTTGCTTGAACCTATAGTAATCGAACGTTGATGTATCTCTCCACATTTGGTAAACGAACGACATGCACAGAAAAAATTCCTGCAGTAAATCCAACCAATTTCACAGTCAAAGTGCCCCAACCGACGCGTTACGTCTTACACTAAACTAAAAATAAAAAAAAAGGTAATCCTAACTAGACCGACCTTAGTTAATACGAAACATTCTTAATACTAAACATTACTAATTAAATTAAGTTTTGGTTTTCCTGTAACTTTGTGGTAAACGAATTTCTTATTTAAATATGTAATTATAGAGCTACAAATGGATACTAACTCACTTAAATTAGTAATTAAATTAAATTAAAGCAACTTGAGCCCATGTCCCAGAGTTCACGACCGTCTGTTTACCAACTGGGCTACTGAGACAAATTGTCGAGAAAGTGAATACATAGGGTACATACAAGGGTGACGAGACGGGAATAAATAGAAGAGGATGCGAGAAAAGTACTGGCGTGCTGCCGGATTGGTTGCTTGCATGCGTACTAAGTGGGTTTAGATTAAAGTTTTTAGTTTAGGAAGGCTATCTACATTAGATGTTATGGTGTACAAATCATTATAATTTGCACGGAGAACTCTAAAAGGTTCAAAGGATGTTCTACAGTGGGGCAAAGCTAATGGTATAAAGGATCTAGTCTTTCTACTCGGTACATGAAAGTTAAGCTGGCCCAGCAAGTCAGCCCTTTCTCGTCACCGCGAATTAGGTTATAATACTTAGCATGGTTCTAGGATTAGATAAAGAAGGTAAGTCAATTAGCAGCAGTCTGTTAGTATAATATGGTAACCTCTGGTTTGCATCCCAGCTTAAACCGCGTGAAGCGAATAGTAAAAAGTTCTTTTGAACCGATTCTATGCGTTTACTGTGGACCCCATACTGAAGCTCCAAACGCAAGATCCATATCCTAAGATAGGCCGAACCATTAAAGTGTAAATGGATTTTGTAGCATTGGGGTCATTGAATTAACTCGACCACCGTTTAATGAAACCAAGCACACCCCTGGCTTTATTCACCATGCTCGAAATATGATCGACAAAGTCATGTTTAGGATCGAGACTGACACCCAAATCAACTATATTAATTCTTTCTAAAGAGCAGCAGTTCAGCGTATAAGTTGCAGGCTTAGGAAGGACGCGGGACAATGCCCTTAGCTTGCATTTATAGCCATTTAAGTTTAATAAGTTCCCGGTAGTCTCCGAACAAGAAGAGAATGGTTAACAGAGTCAAATGCTTTACTAAAATCAGTATAGATTACATCTTTCTGAAAGTTCTTATTTATTTATAATAAAGGGAGTGAGCTCCAAAAGATTGGTTGTTATTGATCTTTGCTTAATAAGACCACGTTGACATGGAGAAAGATTTGACCTACACAGGTTCTGCAAGTGAAAAGTAATGACATTTGGGATGGCCGACAACTTGGAGATTCCTCTATAGTTGTTGGCCTCCAATTTGCTACCTTTTTTGTGGAGGGGAATAACGAATGAATTCTTCCAAATAAGGGGAAAGTGAGAAGTTTTTAGGGATAAGGTAAGCAATTAGAGAGCGGGATTACACAGGGCTTCGGCACAATACCTAAGCACACAACTAGGTATTCCGTCGGGCCTGGCAAAAAGACTGGCTTAACACGATGAAGATCTAAAAGAATAGAGCTTTCGTTTAAGGTAGGACTGAAAATTGGGTTCGATTTGGGGATGATGTAAGAATAAGTCTGATTTGAGTCTGAGCATATTAATCGGCAATATCCTGATCATTATCGGCTGTTGTTTTTTCCAAAGAGAGCGAGGAAGGATGAGTGATGGGTTTACGTTTAGTTTTAACAAAATTATAAAACTGTTTTAGGTCCTTAGAAAACTGAGCCCCGCATCGAGTCAAATAATTATCGTAACACTACGCCTTATGCACGGTAAAAGTTGACCGAGTCGATAAATAGCTAGATAGGACAGTTAGAGAACCGGTGCGTTTATATTTAGCATACAGATTAGATTTTTTCCACGGCTTCAGCCATGTCAGTGCATATGTATAGATCGGACGGATTGGGATCCACCTAAATGTTGCACACCAGTTGCGGTTTTAAGACCGCAAACAAAAGTCGTTGCAAAAATAGAAAAAATAATAAACACAAAATCGTTTTGAACCGTACAAATCCGTCAGAGAATTTCCCAAGGATTATAAATCTTTAATCAAAAAAATTTTAAGATTTTTTTTTGTGGAAGATATGTTGAAATTGTTTTGTTAGTCGGCTTTCAGGTAATATTACACGAAAACTGTATAAGCTGTATGTATGTATGTATAAATAAGCAATGGTCATGATTTTTTTATGACAGGTGCATTCATTACCTCTTATTGAAATTAAAAAAAGTGTAGTTTTGTTTGGGCTTGTAAGGTAAATCGCTACCTGCCAGGTGTCCAATATTTTCACAAAAGTATAGCAACTGCATCTGGAAATGGGGACCTATTTAACATGTTGGCTGCATCATTTGACCCGATTATTGCATCTCTGCGGCATGTCAAGTCACGAAAGAATATAAAAACAAGTGATTATAGTCAAAAAATTCTTAGTCTATTAGAAGTTCTCCATATATAAGCAAATACTTAGTAATAAGTATTAAAAACAAGCCAAATATAAGAAAAAAAATTTTTTTTTTTAAATAAATAAAACTTCTTTTTCAGTGTTCAAAATATTTTTATTTGATCAAATAAAGAAAAAAGATTAAACTTTTGTTTTTAAATTTGTGGGCGTGGCACATTATGCAGTACATATATTACCTGTCAAATGCCGTTTAAATTCTTTTTTTTCAAAAGATATGATTTTTGCAACGTAAAATGAGAAAAGGCGCTACTATACGACGCACTGTAGCGGCTTTTCTCATTTAGCGTTGCAAAAATCATATCTTTTGAACGGCATTGGACAGGTAATTGTTGTAAGATATATATATGTACATGTACCACGCCCACAAAATCTTAAAAATATTTTTTACTTAAGTTTTTATCTTAATTTTTATGTATTTGCTCAAATAAAAATAATTTGAAAACTGAAAAAACAATTTTTTTTAATTCAAAGTGTAACCGCCACGCGCTACAGTTAGAGTATTTTTTTTAATGTATGAAATTGTGTCGGCATTTTGGTATATTTAACCCTGAGTAGTTTTGGTTTATGTCGTTGCATTTTCGCAGACGCAGCCGATGAAAGTTAATTCTGGTCCAGGAAAGATCCACGTAACTTATAGACATAGTGTAGTCGGTGGCTTTCATCGGCTTCAGAAGTTATAGACTAGTTTAGGCAGAAAAAGGTGAAAAAATAGACACCTGGCAGGTAGCGATTTACCTGTTCAAATACCAAAGTACCGATTTTTTTTTTTGATAAATTAACAGTTTATGAATGTATCTATCATTTAAAGTAAAAACCATGACCATTGGTTTTATGGTTTTTGTGTAATATTTCCTGAAAATCGACCAATTTACCCATTCTTTTTGGTATGATGCAAAAATCGAAAGAAAGTTCAACTTTGAATGCTCATATTTTCAACAAAAAAAATTCTTAAAATTGCTTTTATTGCAGATTCTGAATCCTTGGGAAATGTCCTGTCGAATAAGTATTGTTAAAATCGTTTTTGCGAACATGACTTTTTCGATTTTTGCAACGCTAATTGTTCGAGAGGCGCTACTGTGCGACGGCGCAGCGCAAGAAAAAAAACACGTCCGTTCACTTTGAAGAAAGTCTCCTGTCTCCAAAGCCAACATCAAAATATACACATAATTGGGAACGTAAGGGTTGCTATAATTGGCTGTAAAAAATCCAACAATTAAATACATTGACTGTACTTTACTGTAGTTCAACCCACAAAAATAGTATATTCAACCTAAGAAAATTTGTTCAGTGTATGTACATACATATATTTATTTATAGGTTTTAACTATTCGGTCTTTTATGTACTCAACTCCATATCATGGAATTCGGTTTCTGCAAAATTTTGCTGAGAATACCCCAAATATGAAGCAAAGCGGACAAAGCTCTCTAGTAGATCCGTTGATATTGTTAAAGCTAAGTTTTTGTATTGCACGGAGTCATGTCAAAACATAAATTAAGCGGTCGATCATTATAACAAAGCTTATCCAGTACTAGGGCCCTATACAGTACTAGTAGAAACACGTCTTTAAAAATTAGGCTCAGATTTAACACGTAGATTTAAATAAAAACTCGTTATTTTTTCTTTGAAAACTCAGCTCAATTAAATTTCACAGGTTCTCTCTTTCTCGTAATAAAAAGAAAAATCTTTTAACAGTATTTTGTATGTTAGCGTTTTATGTTACTTTCCATATATACATATACATATGTACATATATAAAAACAGAAAAAAATTATCTGTTTTTGTTTGCTTTGTGTATATTTCAACTGACCCAAAGTGGCATTGGAGATTTTTGCGATCCGTTGCCGGCATAACAATTTGCTCAGCGAACGTTTCTCTCATTTTCTTAGTTAAAGTGTCTTCTTTCTGCCTTGGCGCTCGGCCTGCTTAACTGAAAACTGGTTTTAACAGTTTTTCAATGTGTGTTATACTCATAATTGTACGCTCTGGAGGATTGAAAACAGTTTCCCATAGGTACAACAGTAGCTTGGAGTAGTATTTAAATATTATTCATACATGTATAGGTAGAATGAATGTCTTATACAAACCTTTGTTAATATTTTAATCTCGTCGAAGACTTTATTTTATCTTAGAGCTTAATTTGTGTTAGGTTTTTTATTTTTTTATTTAAACTTTTTAAAAGAGGTATAGTTTTGGTTTTTTCTTTCGTTTAAATCATTTCACTTGTATGGGTACTCCCTAGAGCACTGCCCATTTTATTTTGAGCCACATTCATATTCAATTTCACCTTGCTTTCTTGTTGTTATCTTTGTGTTGCACGCTGTATTGTATGTCACGAAGGCCCTTAGTGTCATACGGATTTAATTTTCGTTAATCCCATCTAAAGCAGCACTTTCCGCATGTAACTACCAACACGGCCATCTGTCGTTCAAGAACTGACTGGGCCAAATTTTTGTATCTTGTATGCCTTACTCTGGCCACTCTCTCTCTCTCTCTCTCTCTCTCTCTCTCTCTCTCTCTCTCTCTCATTCTTGTAATTCTCTTTTAAGACAGCGAACAGAATATATGTATGTAGATGCATATATGTATATGTAAAGGGATGTCATTCCCAATTCCACACTTCGTAAGCGAGAGATTCAGGTACTGAATGTTCGCTGCTCCGATCACTGTGATATTCTTGACATATTCTTGACATATTCATATTCTTGAAAAATCGCAGATATAAATCGCAATAATATACTTTTTGGAGGTTTTTGATGCACTATGCTCAAATCCGGTCTCAAAATTATAAAAGTGAATTTCTGGGTATATTTGCTGTATGTTAACTTATTAGATTTAGATGGATATTTTTCCATATATATTTGTCAATTCGCCTCACTTCAAAGTATATAGAAAAATATCTTTGTAAATTCAGAACATGATATTTTGAAGACCAATAAAGACTTTTTTTTAAATTTTAAAAACCGATTTTAAAGGGAAAGAACAGTACATTAAGATGTTACGACTGTAAAAAAAAAAACAAGAAAGCTATTTATAATTGGATTATTAACCCTAGATGGTCATGCTTCGTCGATTCGCCGACGCATTCCTAATTTGGTCAGAAAGTTGGTCAAAAGGTTTAGTTTTTAGTTTTTAAGAACATTATCTATGTGAAATTAAAAGATTATTTTTAATTTTGAGTTGATAATAATATTAATTAAAGGCTGTCAAGAAATTATTCTCAATATTGTTCGTATTTTAACAAATATACTTATTTTTAAATTGGCGTCGTCGATTCGACGAAGCATGACAAACGTAGTAAAAATAAGCACGACCATCTAAAGTTAATAATTATAATCGACACAGAATTAACAGGAGGTATACAAATATTTGTACATAACATATCATAATTTGGGTTTGATAAAATTTTAAAATTATTATATTTATACCCTTGAAGAGTATTACAAATTTAGTCACAAGATTGCAACTAAGGAAAGGAGTCATTTCCGACCCCATAAAGTATATAAATTCTTGATCACTATCAACAGCCGAATCGATCTACCATGTCCGTCTGTCTGCCCGTTTCTTCCCAATATAATCTGAGTGAAGATATTCTTTTTCTAGATAGTCTATTCTTAATAATATATACAATGTTCGGTTTTAATTGTGTATTTTGGTTTATAGGAATATCTCGGTCGCCGCCAAACCTTAAAACGGCTATCTGATCCAAATATGTATATTATATTTAGACTTGTCAGTAAATATAATATTTCTCCAGAACTTAATGAGATGATTTTTGCTGGTTTTAGCGAATTCAAGTCTCTGAAGGCGATTTTTTTTTTGACACGTGTGGCTTCTTCCGTGGTGTATATGAGCCAACGCCAAAATTTTTGTATTGTTCTACGAATGGTTTCTGGGTGGACATCCTTATCAAAAGTTATCAGTACACCTGCGTGAAATAGTTGGGATTTTTCGCAGATGTGAAACCAGTGTTCTCACAGAGTTAATTCTGCATAGACATCCGATCGATCAGATTTGCCACACTTAAAACGAGAACAAAGATGGCTAAAGCGGGAGTAAAATAAATGCTTTATCGCCTTTTTATGCAGTTAAACAACAACAAGAACACAGAATGCGTCATTTTTTTTCCACACAAAGAGCGTGCATGGTGGTTAGGCTCCTAAAAGTTATACAATAAAGTAGATGTAGACGTTTTATAATAAATAGAAGCAATTGGGGCATGCTTGCAGCTTTGGTGCCACATTTTAAATTCCACATTTAAATTGTTTCCGGCCATCTTTGTTTACATTTTCGTAGTGAATGGTAAAATTTTCACTGTTAAGAAGAAGAAACCAGAGTTGCGCCGAAAAACTTTCGCCAAACCATCCCAAACAGAAGGGCGTCAAATTTAGATGCACAACGGATGCGGTACAAAATGAGAAATTTCGGGACGGAAAAACTTTATGGACCGTTTGGTCAACGGACGGGGAATACAGATACAAGCTTTGTGGGGAGAAGAAATCAGAGTTGCACCGCAAAACTATCGCCTAACTATTGTCAAATGAAGGGCGTTAAATTAGATGCACAACGGATGCGGTACAAAATAAGAAATTTCGGAACGGCAAAACCTAATGGATGCAAGCTCGGTACCCGGAAAAGGTAAGAGTCAGAAAGTTGTTTTTATATGGAGTTTTGTTGCTTCTAGAAAATGTATCTTATGTAGTCAGTTCACATTTGACAGCCCAAGCGATCGGTCGTGTTCTTCCGCGAAACGTTTATGTAGCGCAACATCCAAGCATAAAGCAGACGAAAAGATAGGGACCTCTTTTCTACATTTCGAGCAAAGCAGCAAACAATTTCGGCAACTTTAAGCAATCTTAAAGTTTTTTGACCTCTGGACATCTAGAGGAAACACCCTGCCGATGGAATATTCATAATCGCTACGAGGTCTGATGAGTACATTAAACACCTAGCTGAGATATCTACATTTATAGTCAAAAAGACCATAGATCACGCAGCTCAAGGAGAAATCAAAATTACTTTCAAATTACCAAATCTACCAGAACCTTTATTTATTGAATACGAGAAAGGTATACAAGGTACGACCCTGCATTCAATTCACGGATATAGAAAAAATTATACTTAAGTACAAATGTCAATTAAATCTCAAAACCTACACATTATAGCCCTACAATAAACTCATTTTTCAAACCTCTCCTCACTTCCCACATGTGACGCGTATATGCGCTCAAATATATATTAGTAAGAACTAGAATAGAATAGGAACAATTAGCGATATAGGAAAATGGATTGGCAACAGTATGAAAAACATTTGAATTGAATGCGCGCCCGCATCGCATATCGCGAGCGGAGGGTCACACTAGACCGAACAAAGACTGGCCACACTATAAGGGAAAATCCAGCATAGGCTTTGGTCACACTGGAGCACGCCAGGGCTTATATAAAGCGGGCCACAGCACGGAAGCCGACTGCGATTGGGTCAAGTTAAGCTGCCCAGTAGTTTGCAAACTTCTTCCGGTCTTCTTGTCAGCGCGCTTTATAGGGCTTTGCGTGGGGCTGCCGTTTTAGTAAAAGTTTTAGTAAAGTAAGTTTTAAACTGCTCAAGACGGGCAGCGCTAAAGAACCACCAGATTTACCTTCCACCGTCGAACGAACCCAAGATTTATTTAACAAACTCAATTCCAATTGCTTAAGGGGTTCTTCTCATTGGGCTTTTTTTTTCTATTTTTTTTTTTTTTTTTGCATTTATTTATAGCTTGGGATGTTGTGTATATGTCCCCAAATGGATTTTTAGAAATTCGAAATACTTTAGAAGATACAGCCTTTTTTGTGAAGCAAGGTCTTCGCAAAATGAGCTTTAAACGCGTTTATCTCGAAACCACGTTTTTCGAACTCCAAATATCTCCAGTTCAACTGAACCGATTTTCATGAAACAAAGTGGAATCGACGCAGAATTGTCACCATTCTCGGGTGATGGAACAGATTTAAAAACAAATTTTTTTCTTTCTATTTTTTTTTTACACTAAACTACAAAAAAAAAGCCCGAAATCGAATTTTTTTTTTGAATGGCTGACATTTTTTTTTTTTAAATTAAAAAAAAATCTGTTCCGTCACCCGAAAATTACATCTATTCTGATTATAACCCCGTTTTTTTTTTTTAATTTCGGACGCTCTGGAGACCCTGAATCGTGGCCGCCAGGACGACACCTTTATTTTTTCCACCACCAAGTTTGAACTTATTCTTCGATTTGGGGTTCAAACTTATTATTGCGAGAGAAATACAGTAAAAATTATAAAAGAAAAATTATCCATCCCAATTTTTAGGTAAACAAAGTGGTTATATTTGAAAAGTCAACCATATGCATGCATTACAGAGTGGCTCATTTTATTCGAAATTCAAACAGAAAAATGCTTTTGACTGCCAAGTTTTGCGAATCTTTCGATGACTTCTTTGGCGGTAATTTCGATGTCATGATGCGTATAAAGCAACGCTAATCCAACTAGTCTTTCTTGAAGCATGGTCGTCCTAAGCCATGTTTTGATGCGGCGAAGATAAGAGAAAGAACGTTCAGAGCTCGCGTTTGTTACGGGAAGTGTACAGAATACTCGGAGATAGGTGTGGATTGTTGGAAATATGTCGACATCACATTTTCTTAGTGTTTCCAGTGCAGAAGTTGGAATTTCGTTGCCTTCAATTTTTTGTTGCTGCTGCCAGTGACATTGCCAGTAACTCAATTCACCTTTGAATTTCAATTTTTGTACGCTCTTGCCATCATCCAGAAGATTCCCGAATCTTTCTATCAAGCATCCGATTAGATCATCGATTTCGTTTTCTTTTAAAAGACTCGCTTTTTCTGGGAGCAACACACTCAATTGGTAACCATCCAAAACAAAAAAACGAGCTTCCAAATCTTCTTTGATGGTATCCAGCAGAGGTATGTAGACAGAGACCCTGTAGTAATCTTCGCAAGTTTTCAACTCGTAACTTTCTCGTTTCGTTTGTTGACATGTTCTCGGCTTTGCTTCATCAACATCGAGTTTTTCTGTCATTTTCTTGGCATCTGAATAAATCAGTCGGAATATTTAATCAACTTTTTCCCTTTTTTTTTCAACGTGGCAAGCAACGGCCCAACCATTTTTGATACCTTATCTGCGATAGTGGAAGCTGAATCCAAACCATTGCACTATGGGCAAAAAAACGGTTTTTGGTGCATAAACTCTAGTTTATAAGATATTGACTTGAAATTTTTTTTGGTGTATTACTTCAACTATTACAAAATTTTGGTTTTTGTTTTTTTTTTAATTTGTCCACTGCACAGTGGTTCAAAATGCATTTAAAAAAAATAAATAAAACAAATTATAATTTCAATCCCGTTTGGTATTACTTTTTGGAAAAAAAATTGTAACATTGTGGCCAACAC